ATTACCATAAAATGTGTTCAATATTCTTTCTTATTATAATGGGATCAACTGTCAAATAATCAGCATCCATATTTCTTTACTTCTTTTTTTTGGGGTAAAAATGCGTATTTAACTTTAACACTATATAAAATAGTTTAATTAGCTAAGAAACTGTTAATATATTGAAACTACTTCATTCTTTTAAGTTAATTAACAGTGGAAGAAATGTTCGGGGACAATTCATTTCTTAATAAAATTCTTACTTAATCACATAAACTAAAACTTATTGGTTATGACTTTCCAAAAAAATAAAATAAAATAGTCATGACTTATAGAGCGGAAGAACGATTCTTGTGTACTCACCAGTCACCACTTATTCAGTACAGGAGCAATTTACTGTGTACTCATCACTTTGACTAATAGTGCATAATAAACTCAAAACTTAATAGTGTAGTTGACTACTAATTTTTTTTTATACATAATTGACTACTAATTTAAATTTGACTAGAGTTATAAAAAGAAAGCTACATTAACATTCTATACGATAAAACTCAATACGTAAATATGTAGCCGACTACTAATTTTAATTTGTCCATGTGCAAATAATATGCAGTGCCACCTTGTGCTTTATTATAACATATTCTATAACTTAATTTACAAAAAAATTTAAGTTTACAAAAAAATCTTAATTTTGTATGCATATGGAACAAGATATCTCCCTTGGACATTGTGCCTGTATTCTAGCCAGGTATATAGTATATACTACGCTATCTTTTCATTAATTTTTTTTGATTAGAAATGTTTTCATTAATGTATGAAACATGAAAGATGAAACCATTTGTTTTAAGGGGAAAAAGTGTGTTATTTTAAATGATATATCTTGTGTTTTTTCACTTTCATAAAGATATGAGACCTATACTTTTAAAACTTTTTCCACCTACTATTTCTCCTATGATGTATCATCAAAAAGCAGCCTATGATCATTTGAAAATTTTTAGATGTCGAGCTTTCGTGCATACTCTTAAAGATGAAAGGGCGAAGTTGGATGCAAAGACAAAAGAATGCATTTACCTCAGTTCGCTAATATGCGAGTTCTGGTTCAGACTTTAGAATCCAATCAACAAAAAGATAGTGAGAAGCTGAGATGTAGTCTTTCATGAAAACGAGACTATTCAAGACATCTAGAATTTCAAAGTCTGGTTTACTTTCCGAAGTGAAGAACCCGACTCTCCTGTTCGAGCTGAAGCAGGGGAGAAAATCATGAGAATGAAGAAAATGTTGAAAATGAACAAGTTGATGAGGACCAATATGTTGAGGTCTGAGATGATGAGATCCAAGATGAGCATTATGAGTTAGATTCTCAACCTGAAGAATAACCTAGACACTCTACACGAGTAAGAATACCTTCTACAAGGTACCCTCGTAACGAATATACCATTGTTGCTGAAGAGGGAGAACCACAAAGCTATGATGAGGCCATGACGAGCTCAAACAAGAATGAATGAGAGAAGAAAATGCAGGGTGAGATGAAGTCCTTGCATAAAAATCAGACTTATGAATTGACTGAGTTGCCTTAAGGAAGACGAGCTTTGAAGGACAAGTAGGTTTACAAAATTAAACATGAGGAAAACGGCCAAAAGTCGAGATACAAAGTCAGGATTGTGGTGAAAGGCTGCAATCAGAAGAAAAGAGTTGATTTTGAAGAAATATTCTCTCCCGTTGTGAAGATGACTTCGGTCCGAGCCGTGTTAGTTATGGAGGTTTCAATGGACCTCGAAGTAGAGCAGATGGATGTGAAGACGACATTCCTTCACCGCGACCTAGAAGAGAAGATATATATGGAGCAACCTGAAGGGTTCCGAGTTCCAGGACAAGAAGACTATGGTCTGCCGTTTGGAGAAAAGCCTATATGGCTTAAAACAAGTTTGTATCTTTTTCATTTCTGCTGTGCATAGGCCGACTTGATAAGTTCCAACCTGATGAGATCAGACTGACCTCTTTGATAGCTGAGCTCCGAGCTCGATTTGACTTTCGCAAAAGCTTCTTAGCCGAAATTTAAGGACTGAGTTCGTCCCCATCACATTATTCACAATACATATTGTGGTGCATTTTCTCACGCACACAAGTGAGGTAATAAATAAATGGTTATGAGTCATCTTTCTTATCATGAAATATTTTTCATTTATATATATATTCATCTTTAATCATTAAAGAGGTATATTGAATCTATTACTTATCTGTTGTTCTATTAAAATATAGAGTCATTGTAAGCTTACACATTTGCCATCTCTCAATCATACATGAGATATGCACACTATGACTTCTCCAAAAGCTTTGGTCATTGCTTCCAAGAGTATCTCCGTAGCGACATACTTCAATCAAGAGATACTAACTTAGTTCTATTATACTGCTCAATTTTTAAAAAAAAATTGTAAAAAATTATATATCACTTTACTGGATAAAAAAAAATAAAAAAATCTGAACTTTTATAGCCCATGCCTATGCGATAATTAATAAGGTAAGAAACTGTTACTTTAGCAAGGACAAAACAGACTAAAATTAAAGGGCACTTGTTAAAATCTACGTAAGTTTTGGTTTTTTACTGTTTCGCATAAGTTGAAATAACCAACAGGCTTAAAATTAAGGGATTTGATTTTCTCATTTTAAATGAGAATTTAATTTTTATGTTGTAGATATAAAAAATATGTGAGATTCAGGTGTTAGAAAAAATTATATGTAGGATTCATATCAGCACGGAGATTAAAGGGTGTGTAGAAAAATTTGAATTCTCATGTTAAATAAGAATTATAAAACCTTAAAATTAATTACTTAAATCTGGTACAATGATTTCTAATTTTTTAGTGTCTTAACGAAATTTGTTAAACTTACTGTTCAGAAAGTTATTTGGACGGTTCAGATAGATAAGAGATTTCTGGCGTGATTCAATAATCTAGGAAAAATTAAGCTTGAAACTTTATATATTTTAATTGGAGAGTAAAACGCAGGATTAATAAATAATGAATTAGTATGACCCATGCGGCCATAGGTACATAGGGGCTAGCCAAGTTTGTTAATCATTTTTTTTAACATGCCTTCTTTTGTTTATATAACATGCCTGGATCTTACCCATCAACGTTTATGCTCTCTTTAGCTATTTTGGCGGATATATAGAACAGGATTCTTTTATATATATATATATATATATATATATATATATATATATGAGACATGATCCGTTTACAATTTATTTTTGCAATTACACTAATATAGGACCGGTCGTACATTGTGTGATTAATATAGGACCGGTCCTACATAGTGTAGTTTGTAAGAGTTTGTAAACAAAAAAGTTTGTAAATATAATCTGCCCCTATATATATATATATATATATATATATATATATATATATATATATCAATTGATACACTTTTGATTCACTGATTAGTAAACAAATTGTAAAGAACCTTGGGATACACCACCCCAAAAGTTAGCTCGAGTGCATGTATAGGCCAATATCTAATTAATGACTAGCTAGTTTATTTAGGGATTACATGTCCATTCTCATCTCTCTCTCTCTTAAATTCGATTCTAAACTATACGTAATAAATATGTATATGTATGATGATTTCACCTCCCACTCCCCACACACACACACAACACTTAACGTAGAAATTTTCACCTGAAATGATGCAATATTAATAATTAATTTTTTTGTTATTGTACATATTCTCGAACCAGCTTTTATGTTAAATGAAATATACACCTCCTATATCGACCTGATACCATTATAAATCTCGAGTCAATATTTGAACTCAAGTCATTTATAGTTCTCTTTGATACGAGATTATGAGCAAGTCATGATATTAAAAAGCTCATTAATGTCAAATAGAGTTTGACCAATCATATATACATAATTTCCAATTGTTTGCACATTTGATTATTACTCATGCATGAGTAATTGCATGATACATGATGAAAAATAAAACAAAAAGTATATTGCAATCTAGTAATTATAAGTACACGCTTATTGATGTTAATTTCCATACAAATAAACAAACTTCTCATAGTCCCTGTATGTTGTTAAATTTATTTCTAAATCAAATGAAATCCCCACAAATTAAACAATGACATCGGCTTTACCACTACAATGTCCTCCTCTTCTCTAATACTTATCTCTATTGTTATTGCTCGGTTTGGGTGAACCGTGAATGCATATCCAAAATGTGTTAATTGTATGTAGGATCAATATGCTCACAAATATCTATGAAAAAGATATCGTATAGAACTATAAATATACAGATTACTGTTCACCTATATAATACGACGATAGCCAAAATATGGTGTGTTTGGATCTATATAGTACGACGATAGCCAAAATATGATGTGTGTGTGCACAGTAATAATAAAAGTAAAAGGTATTTATAATTTCAAATGACATAATTTTGTACTATTTTAAATAAAACATGTATTTTAATATATATTCGATACTTTTTACATTTTTTTTCCTTCAAAGAATTAGGAAGAGAGAAAATACTTTAGACGAGAGAGAAGATAAAAAAACTATCAAAACACTATTATTTCGTTTAAATTAACACAAAATTATATGATGAATAGTACAAATTCTCTTCCATTTAAATATACTGATATACATTCTTAAATGTCAACCACTCCCTTTCGATTATGTAACCACAAATTAAAGGGAAAATGACAAACCAGAAAGCACGTGACAAGCAAAGCTTCAAACATATCTCAATCACAAAAGTTTATTTATTTTCTTTTCCTTGAAAGTTAAAATTATTGGGATCTCTGTTCACATGCTTGCTTGCCCGAATTTTATTATTCCATTCTTGTTGTTTACAATCACTTTAGGCGAAATAGTACATATATTTTTTTTTTATAAAGCATAAGTTACCGGATCATAATGTAAATATACAAAAGATAAAATAAGATTAGATACAATGATCAGATTTATAGAGAGATTGTCAGGTACTACAATGTTTGAGACTTGAGTAACATTATTCTTTTACTCCAACAAAGATTCTGCAAAAGATTCCAAATCATATTGGCTATGGTCCATGTTCAAGAGCTGCAAGTACTCTTCATATAGATTATCAAGTGTACCATGATCCGTGGCAAAATAAGATTGGCAATATTCAACATCTAATCTATTGACTAGGTCATGGTCTTCACCAAAAAATCCAAAACCATCGTTTTCTCCAACATTACCAACTTCACATAGCATGTTTGTTACTTCTTTTGTTGTTCCTGGACTTTCTTGTTTCTCTTGGCTTGTTGATCCACTAGCTGAATTGGTACTATCTGTTCTTGGTAGTGACAAAGCTTTAACCCTTATAGGTTTTGGTAGATAAACTTGTGTCTTAGGTGGCTCTGCATTTGTGCCTTTCTTCTTGTCCTTCTTCTTGTTCTTCTTCTTCTTTTTGTTGGCACTGGCAGGTTCTTGTTCAGCATCTGAAGATGACTTATCTATTGATCCCTGATTTTTCAGCTTTTTGCAGAGATGGGTGTTCCAATAGTTCTTTATTTCATTATCTGTTCTGCCTGGTAATCTTCCAGCTATGAGAGACCACCTATTTCCAAGAAGTGAATGCATTCTGATTATAAGATCATCTTCTTCAGTAGTTATGTTCCCTCTCTTTATATCTGGTCTTAGATAGTTCATCCATCTAAGTCTACAACTTTTCCCACATCTAAGAAGCCCTGCATATTATATATATCAACCACACTTATTTAGGATTTTAATTTTATATCATGGTTATATATAAATGAAAAACATATTATAACTTTAGGATAAAAAAATTATTAGAACAAACCAAATACTATATCAAAGTTTGAAAACATAAGAAAAATTTAGACAAGAACATGAGATATGAATTTGAGAAAATCAAATCAAACTCTTACCAGCCCTTTTTGGTAGTGATTTCCATTGGCCTTCTCCATGAGCTTGAATATATTTAGTAAGCAATGCATCTTCTTTAGGAGTCCATGGACCTTTGTGCAACCCAACTTTGGAACAACAAGGAGCTCTTCCCATTTTTTTGCACTCTTGAAATTTTCCCTCTCACTTAAAAAGTACAAGAGCTATATGAACAGAGAGAGAGAGAGAGAGAGATGAGAAGGGTGCTATATATCTATAAGAAGCAGAGCACATAAAGATCTTGACACCTTGTTCCGTTTTTAAATAGCGTGCTTAGCAACACTCTATTTTTTTAATATTTTTTTAATTGATTCATGCTATGGACAAGGACAAATTGAAAGCCAGCAATGGCTGCTATTGTCTATTCATATTTCCTGTACCTGTCTCTATTTACATTGGTTAATATTTAAGGGGTTGTATTTCATTTTTCATTATAGATATATAATATGGTGAGGGCTAGTACAGTACTACCCATTAAAAAAAAAAAAAAGTGATAGTATAATTTTTTATGTGAGAAGAGCATGGGATAATTATCTTAACAGAGAATGATTTTTCAATGTTTAATATTTATTATATGAGTTCTATTTATCTTATGTTACATAAGATAAACAAGTTTTATACACACACAAAGTGGAGGTGTGTTCCACATCTATTTTTTTTTCTTTCCTTTTACATGTGGATCTCACTTATAATTTTATTTCTATAACATGAGATAACAATTTTTCTACTACATAAGATAAGTATAACCCTTATTATATTACATAATAAAATGATTATTGGGTTTCCATATTGATTGTAATATTTGATTTTGATAAATAAGAAAATTAAGGCAAGGAGATACCCTTTTATTACAAATTAACAACAGATTTACCATAAAAAAAATTAAATTAAATTTAAATCATACAGTCGTAATGAGTACTGAAAAGTCAACCAAAAAATCCCTTATAAATTGATGTGTACTTGCGAGTCAACTTTGGTTTTGATTCTGAAAAGCTTTTATTAGTTTGGTAATTAAAATTAGGATTCGTTTTTTCTAAATATATTTTAGATAATTTTATCTAATTTTTACTGAAATGACGTCTTTTTGGGGTAAAAATCATGGTGTGTTTGCAACTTTAATTTATTTCAGGTTATAATAGTCTTTATTATTTTAATTTTTAATACCAAAACGACATTATTTCGGTGAACATTAGACAAAATTATCTAAAGTAACATTAGATATTTTTTTTCTTAAAATTCTTATATAAGTTTGGTGTTTAAAAAATGTTAGTATAAAAATAATTTTAAACATACTGTTAATTGAACTCAAATTAATATCGGATCTGAAGATAAAAATTATCATTTACAAACCAATTTAATGACATAAATATTTTAAATATCAAAATAATATTCTAATTTTTTTTGAAAGACTAAATTAGAGGATTGTAATAATATACTGTATGGGTTTTATTATTTAGATACACTTTTATTGTATAGCTAGAAACGTCACATAGCATATTCATTATTTTCTTTTCTTTTTTCTTCTTTTTCTTCCTGAGTATTTTGTTTGGTTTCTTCTGCATTTTCCGTTTTCACTCATGCATTTTTTTTAAAAAAAATGGATAATACATAAATTCGTTTTTATTTTATTTTTGTTCAGCCTGTACTTAAATTCAATTATTTATTTAATAAATGAGGATGAGGTGATGGAACTCTACATCAAGGATCACGGAGTTTATAGGCTCTGATATAATGTAAAAGCAATCAATTCTTCCAAAAATTTTAAGTTAACAAGAGGAGGTACATAAATAATTTTTATAATATTTCTTAATAATATTTGATATTTTATATATAATATATATATATATATATATATATATATATATATATATATATATATATATATATTAATTTGGTATACGTCACTTTGAAATTAAGATAAATATTTCGGCCACTGCCTTGTTAGAAAAGAAAAAAAAAGTTCACCAATTTTGAAACTTGACACATTAAAAATATTAAAACAAAATAGAGACAAATACGGTACATCAGCTAATAGACTATATATTCAGACAAATTCATATTTTCAAGAGCACGAGCTCGAAGCTTTTTGACCATCTCTATCGGTCTAAGATTAATTATGTAGAAAAATATAAGGATAAAAGAAAAACTCAATCACTACAGCACCTAGTGTTTGCCTAAGATGTTTTTATGTTTGAATGCATTAAATATTTACACATATTTTTTTACCATTGTAGAAGAAAACAAAGAAACAGAACAAAGGGAAAAACAACTGCTCTCCAATAATCCGAACTTAATTCATAGAATCCGCAAGAATACGATAGTATATTGCATGTTTTTTTCTTACCGTAGTTGTTGTTTGTCTAATTCTCAAGGGAAAAGATCCGTTTACAAAATTTTTTGATAAATTTTTACAAATTACATTATCTTCTCTGAGGAGAATATAGTGAAAGTAGTGGTCTCCGGAAGAAGATAGTGTAGTTTATAAACAAAAAAGTTTGTAAATATAACTTGTCCCAATTCGCAATATGATTAATACATAGGCTACATGTTTCACATAAAAATCAGCACTGCTATATTGTGGCTCCTTAATTTCCTTGCTAAGTAAGTGTTTGGTCTCAATCAGGATACTCGCATACAGATTGAACTTTGAAGGAGTAATTTCGTAGCTGCCAAAGATGAATGGCTTCCAATGACTCTGACACACAAACAACATGCAAGTATTCAGCGTTGCGCTCCAACTCTAAACCAATTTGTTCATTATAAATTCAAACAAATTCCTCCACAAATATATATTGATAATATTCTAATAAAGAACTTATAAATATGAATCTCCTACATATGAATTAATTCTTATGCAAAACTTTAAAACAAAAAGATGGCATAAAGAAAATAGGGAAATATAGCTCTCATGTTGCAGGATAAATTTTCTTCTCCTGCAACAAATTAACACTATGTGCCTGTTTGGATCCTCTTTTTTCTAAGCTACAAGTTACTTATAAGCATAAGCTAGGCCAAACAGGTTTTGGGAAAAACTCTTATAACGAAAAGCTCTTTTTTTATAATGAAGAAAAAAGCTGAAAACTAAGTGCCTGTTTGAATCCTCTTATTTTTAAGCTAGAAGTTACTTATAAGCATAAGCTAGGCCAAACAGGTTTTGGAAAAAGCTCTTATAACGAAAAGCTCTTTTTTTTATAATGAAGGAAAAAGCTGAAAATTAAAAGCTCCTAGGAGGAGCTTTTTTTTAAGCTCTTATCTGTTTTTCTTGAATTGTGTGCTTTTTTTTTAAATGAAGAGTGATAAAGATAGAAAAAGAGATAATTTTCTTGAAATATGTGCTTTTAAGTAATTTTTAAGCTAATTTTTTTTTGTAATTTCCAAACAGCTTTTAGCTTCTTTTTTTAAGCTCTTTATTTTAACTTTATCTTATAAGTAGCTTCTAGCTTAAAAATAAGAGGATCCAAACAGGCTCAGAGCTCCTAGGAGGAGCTTTTTTTTAAGCTCTTATTTGTTTTTCTTGAATTGTGTGCTTTTTTTAAAATGGAGAGTGATAAAGATAGAAACAGATAATTTTCTTGAAATATGTGCTTTTAAGTAATTTTTAAGCTAAAACTTTTATGTAATTTCCAAACAGTTTTTAGCTTATTTTTTTAAGCTCTTTTTTTTAGCTTTAGCTTATAAGTAGCTTCTAGCTTAAAAATAAGAGGATCCAAATAGGTTCTATGTATTACGGGTAATATATAATTATAATTTTAAAAGTTGTTTTTTCTCTCTCCTCAAATGCTCTTGGCTGACGTGGCAGAGAGAGAAAAACCAATTTTAATATTACAACTATGTATTATCGGTAGTATATAGTGTTAATTGGTTGCAGGAAAAAAAGTTTCTTTTTTTATAACATGAGAAGTTGGAGACCCAAGAAAATAATATAATTTTGATCCGTTATTAATATATCACTTTTTTACACTAATATTGTTCATTTATATATTATCAAATCAATGAATAGAGATTAATTAGGATTTAGGGCTACTTGAATGTCTGGAGCGAAATATTTTGGATACTACTGTCGCACCATTGATTGGGTGCGGCAATCCAATTAAAATGTCTTGTTTCTTGTGCTATGCGTACGGAGCAAAAATAAAAAAATAAAAAAATCCAGATGTAATTTTCTAAACCGCAGTTGTATGTGCTACGGTTGTACAGAAAGTGTTCTCGTCCGGGAGATATGATTCAATGGATTTAATCATAATAGAGGGTGAATTATATTTACAAACTTTTTGTTTACAAACTCTTACAAACTACATTATGTACTCCTGGAAGTACACTAGATTACACTATGTACTTCCGGGAATATATAATATAATTTGCAAATATTTATAAAAAAAATTTGTAAACGGATCATTTCTCCATATATGTATATATATATATATATATATATATATATATATATATATATATATATATGGGTTTATTTCTTCTGCAGTTACTGTAGATAAGTTATCTACAGTAAGTCAATACGACGTCGTTTTGGGGCGGAAAATCATGGTGTTTTTGTAATTTTAATTTATTTCAGGATTATAATAGTCTTTATATTTATAATTTTTTAAGATTTCAATCCCAAAACGACGTCGTTTTGGGATTGAAATCTTAAAAAATTATAAATATAAAGACTATTATAATCCTGAAATAAATTAAAATTACAAAAACACTATGATTTTCCGCCCCAAAACGACGTCGTATTGACTTACTGCAGATAACTTATCTGCAGTAACTGCGGAAAAAGAGAACCCATATATATATATATATATATATATATATATATATATATATATATATATATGAGTTCGCTTTTTCTACCGTCAATGTTGATAACTTATCTACATTGAGCCCAAAACAACGTCGTTTTAAGGCGAAAATCAAGATATTTTTGTAATTATAATTTATTTCAGGGGTATAATAGTCCTTTTCGTTATAATTTTTTAGTTTTTCAATCCAAAATGACGTCGTTTTAGAGCGAATGTAGATAACTTATTTACATTCACTGTAGAAAAATTAAAGCATATATATATATATATATAGGGAAAAATATTTCTCAAGCAGCTTGAGATATGTTTATCTCTGGC